AAAGGGCGGCCTACAAATTCTAATAAAATTCTAAATTCTAAATTCTAAGTTAAATAAATATATTTCAAGTCTTTGAAGTCTATATGGATATGTGTGTGGACAGAATATAGATATAGCTGCGTGGGTTGGTTACTTATTCTTCCATAAAGAAAAGGGATGCCTTCAATTCATGAAAGAGAATGAAATCCAGCCAAAGCTTTTACTAGAGAGAAGGCAGAGCTTAATCTTTTATGGATTGTTCCTTCCCTGCACAGTGCTGTACTACTTCTTGTCCACTTCAGAGAGACTCTAGTCAGATGTGAGTTTAAAATTCAGAATCAGGATCAGGCAAATGATCAAGCCAAGAAATCTGTCACATCAATAAAGGTAAAGGTTCCCCTTGAGTATTTATGCTAGTTGTTTCCACTCTAGGGGGCGGTGCTCATTCTCCGTTTCAAAGCCAAAGAGCCAGCACTCTCCAAAGACATCTCCGTGGTCATGTGGCCGGCATGACTAAATGCTGGAGGGGCACAGAACGCTGTATCTTACCCCCAAAGGTGGTTTCTAATTTTCGATTTGCCTTTTACATGCTTTCGAACTGCTAGGTTGGCAGAAGCTGGGACAAGTAATGGGAGCTCACTCCGTAATGCAATGCTAGGGATTCGAACCGCCGAATTGCTGACCTTTCTGATCAACACATCAATAGATCCTTACTATTTGACCAGTCAGGGAGCAAGACATGATTTTAGGGTTGCAATCAATCAGGATTTGGAATACTCATAATGCAGTTTTTTAATGAAAGTACTCCTATTTTTACTGTTCTATAGCTCCATCACTTTTTCTTGGAAAGCTAATGAGATAATGCTGGATTGGATGGCTGGTCAACAAGATACTCTGACTCAGGATCCCCAACCCCTGCTGTGTGGCCTGGTGCCAGGCCACAGCCCATTAGGAATCAGGATGAAGAAATGATGGGCATGCATGAGTGAAGCTGCATTTTTGAAAGCGGCATGCACACACAAACCCATCCTTCTCACCCCTGCCATCGCTGCCTCCACCAGACTACTGACCTGGAAAGATTAGGGATTGTTGCCTCTGACTCACAAATATTCTAGGTATTAGGTTAAAACTATTCCTTGTCTATTCTAGCAGTAACTGGATTTGCAGGTTCATTCTGTTGTTCCCCTTTAAACAAGTGGAGTAAAGTCAGTCATGAGGTCAGAGGAAAATAGGTCTTCATCAGGGGTGAAATCTAGCAGGTTCTGACAGATTCTGGAGAACTGGTAGCAGGAACTTTGAGTAGTTTGGAGAACTGCTGGCAGAAATTTTGAGTAGTTCAGAAAACTGGCAAATGCCACCTCTGTCTGGCCCCAAAGTGGGGGCGGGAATGGGGATTTTGCAATATCCTTCTCCTGGAATGGGATAGGAATGGAGATTTTGTAGGATCCTTCCCCTGCCACGCCCACCAAGCGCTACCCACCAAGCCACACCATACCCACCAAGCCATGCTCACAGAACAGGAAATTTAAAAAAATTGAATTTCACTACTGGTCTTCATGCCTCTAATTCTTCTTTCTCATATGAAAGTATGAAATAGAAATTGAAGATGGTCACACCACCATACTAATATAGGAAATTTCAATTTGTTTGAAGATTGTCCATTCAAAGACCAGATTAAAATAAAGCATGACCTGAAGGGAGATCAGGTGCCTTGAAATCTCTTCCTTTCAACAATTAGAATCCTGGACGGCAGGCTAAGTAGGCTCAAGCACATCTAATCTCAATTTTCCCTAGTTTATATTATATTTTAATTATTATTTTTACATAATAACCCTATTAAAATGAGTTCCTATTCATATTAGGGCTTCTCTTTAATAAAAGCCTCATCAGAGTGTGGTCACATAATAAACTACCTATGTTTAGAAGATAGTTTTGATAGCAAAACTAGTTTTGACAAAACACTGTGGCAGGTAGTAATAAACTGGGGGCCCTCAAATGAAGAAACAGTAATGGAATATCTTGCTTTTCAGATTGTTTCAGTAATTGGAGCTAAAGGGGCTAAAGCAACCCAGGCTAGTTATATCTAAATGTTCTTCTTTCTTTTTGAGCAGAGCAATGTTCTCTTTTAGGGAGATTACCTAACACTCTTCGAGTAATCTGCAGGGTGTAATAAAAATAGACAAGAAGTTTGACTGTGATGATGGAATCAAAGTTTTGCTTACTTTTTCTATGTACTACGCATAGAAAAACAGGTGGAGTTTCATTTGTATCTCTGCAGCCACCATTTTGACTTGTTCTACCATGCGCGGAGAAAGTGCTGTCCTTTCTGATCCCAGAAGGAAAGTGTGGATAAGGGGCTGCTTGGTCCAGGGAAGAAGCAGAATCGTTTGGAATTTCTACACTATGGACCAGGTAAGCAGGGAAAGGTGCAATCGGGAACAATCCAGAAGTATCATTCACCCTGCCAATTGGATTACCTAATTTTCTATCAACCTGAGCATTTGAAAAGTAATTGACTAAATTAGGTCCCAGTTGTAGACTTGAGAGTCCTCATGCAAATTAAAGAGGTATCCTTTTGTAGACTAAAGGAAATACTTTCTCTTCAACTGTTAAGTGCAGTGCTGGTGATTTTCTGTTAGGTTGAGTAATCCACAGGAAAAAAGATGGGCTGGATCAATGTTTCTGGTTTGAGGTTATGCCTTCAGTGAAGCTTCAGTAAGGCAGATTTTGTATTTCAGTTGCATACAATTGTTTGATTCATAAGGCCATCCCCCCTGGGGGATAGTAACATGGAGCAATCACTGCATTTTATGGCTTATTAAAATTGACATTAGCATACTGAACACTTTTGATACTTGGAAATCATTTTATCAGCTTGCCAAAAGAGTGTGAATCCAGATTTTTGTTTTAACTGCCAATTCTCCAAGGTGCAAATGTGTCATTTTTACATTTACTTTATCAAGTGATACATTCCTTCATCTTACAGGTTAAGTTGAGATGATGCTCAATGAAAAACTGACACCTCTGCTCTGTAATTGTTTTCCTTCCTTTTAAAAGAGAGCAGGACAAATAATAGCTTGGTGAAGGCATGCAATCTAGAGCACATCAGGAAATCCATGGTATCTATTAAATCTCCAACAAAAATGGCATATTCCCTTGATGGGGATGCCCTTTTCTATTTGCTGCTTTTGCAGATGAGATGCCAAATATTCTTCTGCAACTCACTGGAAAAGATGAAAATCCAATTACGGGATTCCTGACATGCAAGTAGTTTTGAAGAGAAAAGGCAAGTGGCTTTCCCAGCATCCAATCATTTCACAAGAAGGATGGCAAATAATAGTCATAAGGAATAAAAAGGGGTGTTTTTTTGGTGCTTTATTGGTTTATACGTAGTAAAATACATAAAGAAGATTTGTAATTTAACTTTCACAAATCATCTACATGTGTATTTTTGTTTACCATACTTGGATTTTAAAACTGCAATATCAACAATATTTTTTTAAATCATTTTTTTTCAGGAACTGATGTTCAGGACTTCTGTGTGGAGATTCCTGAATGGGCAGAAGGTTTGAGTGTATGATTTCCAATATCCCTTCCAACATTTACCTTTTAAAGTTCAATGAGAATTTAGTGACCAAATATTGAAGCCTCTGAAAGTGTAAAAAATAAAGTTTCTAACATACTATTAACCATTTCATAGCAAATCATGTACCTTGCTGTTCTGCTATTTTACTAGGTCATATCAAAATCATCTATCATACTATGCACCAGTCTGGTTAGGTTTAGGTTAGGTTTATTGGTTTTGTATGCTGCCCACTCCTGAAGGACTCCGGGCGGCTCACAATAAACAGGGGAGGGAATAAATAAGACAATA